GAATTGAGTTATTTTATATCCTATTAATTTTCTATTATTTACTTAATTAGTGCTTTCCTTGGCAATATTAAGAATGCTTATATTAACAACCCAAATCTTGAGAATCTCCTTTTTGATCCATTTTTCAAAAAGGCTGTTGAAGATGCTCAAGATTCTTGGCGCCATGTTGTTTCACAAGCTGTTCTACTTGGTATTCCTACTCCTGCGTTTTCTACCGCATTAGCCTTCTATGACGGTTATAGACATGAAAGATTACCTGCAAATCTACTTCAAAGTCAAAGAGATTATTTTGGGTATTCATTGCTTTTAAAATATTTCATGTCTTCTTTTTTTGCTATGTTATATACTATTGGTATTAATTTTATTTTTTTCTCAATTAGCGCTCATACATTCAGATACCTGAAAGAATATATCGATAATGATCATCCAAGTGGTGATGTTCATGTCAATTGGACTGGAGAAGGCGGTAACGTAAGTGCCTCGACATATCAAGCTTAACAGATATCTTAAAACCCAAGCTTTAAATGCTGTGTAGATAAAATTTTTATTTAAGTTGTATTAGAACAAATTTATTCAATTGGCAGAATTTATTTATTTATTTTTTTTTAAAGTATAATTTCGATTTCGCACTTTTAATTGTGCTTTAAGGTGCTGATATTATTACATAATATTTTGGGCGGAAGAGGGGTCAAAATTATATGTATTTTTAAGGGTATGGTTCTATAGTAAACGATATATTACGTAAATAATCTCAGTATTCTAAATTTCTAGTTAAATAAAATTCTAAAAATTTATTGTCAATTCTTAAACTATTAATTCTGATAAAATTATTCGAATAAACTCGTCATACTGATGTTCAGTACAGAGATGTGCTTCACACTACGCCCGGAAATGTGTACCGGGAGAATTGGACGAAATTTAAAAAGGATTTTTTTTTTTTTTTTATCAAATTTTTTATTAGAAAATATATTTTGAACTTTTTTTTTTTTTTTTTTTCAAAGATTTCTTAATTGTTTATGACTTAAGGTGATACCTTTCTAAGTGCAACCATAGTAAAAAAAAAAAAAAAAAAAGCAAAATGTGCACTTACACAGGGTTTGCATTTATAGAAGTTAAAATTAAATAAGTTAGGACCAAGTAGAGGTATGCACTTAGAGAGGTGTATTTAAAGAGGTCTTACTATGTTTATTTAATGCATACATGTTTTATAAAGACATATAGACATTCATATAAGATATTATTCATGATTGGTTCGTTTCTTAAAATGTTTATTTGCAGTTGATTCTTTATGTTTATTTCAAATTGAATTAGTATTTCTTTGTATAAGGGACAGCTGTAAAAATTTAACTGAATAAATATTTACCGATTCGATAAGTAATGTCAGATTCATGTTTATGTATTTTGTAATATATAAAAACTTTTACGGTTTAGTTTATCACTGCTGAATCAAAAACTTATCGAATCAGCAAATATTTATTTGATCAAAATTTTAATTAGCTGTCCTAATTAGAATAAAAACAGCTGTAAAACATATAAAAAATTTTTTATAAAAGTTTCAAACTTTGACTCAGCTGGGTTATGAATTAATTTTATATGGCCTTAATAAAAGCGATAGTTTATCATAAAAATAAAGAGTTGAATGTACGTAGATCAATTTTCATATGATCTGTATTATAATAATTTAAATTATAAAAAATTTTACTAATTAAAACTTTTTTTAGCCTTCTAAATAAAGTTGTAGAGTAGGTTTTTATGATTCTAATAGTAGTAAATTTATTAAAATTGAGTTAAAACTCGTCGAGATATAGGAATTTATCTAATCAGAATAGGTTATTTTGTACTACTGTATTTAGAAAAATTTTATGATATATACAAGTATAAATTTTTTGTAATTAATATATTTTAAAAATTTATAAAAAATATATATTATACGTATTGTAAAAATTTTATAGAAAGCAATATACAATGTATATTATATGAAAATTGTTTTACATACACTCTAAAAATTTATTATTTTATGTCGCGGATTATGGTGAGATCTGATAATGGTGATATTTAAAGGTCTCCTTTTGAAAATATAAACCTTACTAAAATCTACTTGTACTCTTTTCTAAATAACTCTAACCCTAAACCTTAACCTAACCTAAAAAAAAAAAAAAGTCAAGAAAATACACCCCAGAAAATTTT